CAGACAAGGATAGAGACAGAGACAGACGGACAGACAGACAGACGGACAGACGGACAGACGGACGGACGGACAGAAGACAGACACACACCCACCCACACCCCCACACCCCCACACGCCGGCACGCCCGCCCGCACGCCCGCCCGCACGCCCGCCCGCCCGCGCGCGCGTGCGCGAACAGCAGCCTTGCAGGGACGGCCAAACCTTGAGCAGCATATCCGGTGCTTGATCGGTGTGAACAACAGAGACAGGCTCGAACCATCGCCATCACTGCTTCGTCATCGCTGTTCCACATGCGCCAAGGTTGTGGCCGTGGGATTCCGACTCGAGGTTTTTGCCAGCGTGGATGCTGGAGGAAGCTGGCAGGAGGTCGTACATCCGCCTGGAATCCGAATCCTTGCTCCGAATGAGACTGCTTGGTAGCGAAAGCTGATGACCGAGTAGGGCTCGTTATGATGATGTTTTTCTATGCTAGACTTTCACACACGATCTCAAAGCGTAGCGGACACTCGTGCCGAAGCAAGAGGCGCCGAACACCTTAAGGACTGTCCTTCATGTTCCACCCGACGCGAGCCTCCTGGGCTCTGCTGTCAGTCTGGACGGAAGACTGCAAGCTGAAAAACCCCGGAGCTCCTTGTACCCACAAGCTGCTGGTCACCGAGGCGAGCCGTCGTCGCTTCGGTAAACGTTTCCAGGGCCATGTGCTGCCATGTTCTTAGACGCTTGCTTCGCCCTTGTCAGGACCTTGGCAAGGGTGCTCTGAAACCGGTCTCCGAACACGTGGTGCAATTCAGCTGGGGCAGAAAAGTGCACGCGGATCGCATCTTTTACACCCACATCAGGGACAAGAGCAAGAGACAGAACGTCTTGAGTGACCTGACTGTCTGTACATGTGCATGTCGCGATTTTTCGTGTCTCGATTTGTGGGAGTCGTTGTACAAAAGTAGGCATTCATCAATGTTGTGTTGTCCAGTGACCCTGTGGCTCCTCCTTAATCATTTACATCATGCCCCGACACTGCAAGTTAGTAAGGGTTTCACGGTTTCACGTCTTTACGCTTCTGGAGAAACCACGAGCAAAAGCCCCAACGTCCGAGGCAAGTGGATGCAGGGGGTGGACTTCGTCTCCAGCGACGATCTTGGTCATAGCAACTCCGATATGAAAGGCATCTTTTTCGTGTTTCTGTTGCAGTGGAGTAACATATTCCCAAGCCCAGGAGGAAGCTGTTGATGCGCATGGATGCCTTGAAACACGTCGGTTCTGGGTTCCCTGAACTTGCAAGTAAATCCTAGCTGTGGTCCCGCCTAAGAAGTTCAACGCTGGAACACAGCAGCCCTCGTTTGAGGCAAAACTACGCTGGTCCAGGGTGGGAACAAGTTCGTGATCTCCGAGCAGTACATCTTAGTAGCGCAGGTCAAGGATGTAACCGCGCAGACCGTGAACCTCAAGGTTAGCACCGATGGCTCGACCTTCCAGCAGGCCATTGTTGCTCGATTTTCGATGGGGGGCAGACAAGCTGCCTTTTCTGCGGAAGGCCGCGTTGCCTACCGAGTTGGAGGAGAAGTCCTACACGGTGCTCGATGCATCCGAGGGTCCCCGCATAGTCAGAAGCGCTGTTGCTGCTACATGTTTTGTCAGTACCCTTGCCGCCGAAGGGATGGTCGTGCTGCACGTGAACCACGGGAACGGCCTTGGAAACATCTACGTTTCGGACGCCATGACAAGTTGAGTTAAAGTCCTTGCCAAAGCACAGCGGTTCGCGAGCTTGTAAAGTCGAGCACTCCATCCTGGCTTCGTTGGAGTGTGGGCACATCTCATGTGCCCACGTCAATTTCAAGACACTCCGTCTAAGCAATGGGAACAAGCACAGCATTCCAGCGAGAAGCTCTCGGAATTTCACAGCATCTTGTTATCTTGTTGCTTGCCTCCCAAACCTAGGGTCTGCGTCCCTGTAAGAATCACAAAAGATGGAGCCACGTGAATTTAGCAGCAGACCCTAAGTGAGGAGGGATTGCAAATGACCGTGGAGGAGGGAGTGTAACAGTAACTGTTAGTCCGAACCTGGAGTCCGAACTGCGAGGATGAGTCGGGCACCGGCTACGTCTTGTCCTTGGAGCACAATGTGGGGCTGCAAGGCCACGCAGCCTTCGAAAAGGTCACGAACTTGAACGGCATCTACTTTGCCACTGAGATGCAGCTTTATTTGACCGACCGATCGGAGGTTTCGCCGCGTGATTCAACATCCAACAGAGGCCAACGTTTGGGCGGCCACAGAGAAGTCGGCAGGACGCCACACAATCTGCGCTCTCTTACGCCTCGAAGCTGTTGCACTGTTGAGTTGAGCGGCCGCCTATCATTGGCAGGCAACATCGACCCGGCCGCCTCGCACGAATGGCTTGATCACGCGACTCGGAAGAACCACCGCCATGTCTCAAACTACCTTTGCTTTTCTCAACAAGGCCGACTACCAGCTTGGTGACGACTCGACACAGGCCCAGGCTGAGCGCTCCATTCGCTACCTGAAGGCATCGCGAGAGCTTTGCGCCGCGTCATGTCTTCCGTTGGTAGCAAGCAATGTGGTAATTGGTTTTTCTCTTAGATGTAATGTTTGCTTACCCTTACGCAAACGCAACTTTTACTGCCTGCCCCACCTATCCCACCTATCCCACCTACCCCGCCTACCCCGCCTACTTCCACTGCCCCACCTACCCCACCTACCCCACCTACCCCGCCTACCCGGCCTACCTCGCCCCTACCCACCTACCCCACCGACCCCGCCTGCCCCACCCACCCTATCTACCCCAACGAACCCCGCAGTCAGGCTTTGCGTAAGAGAAGGGACCGAGCTCATTCACACAACCGAAGACTCTCTTGCTTCGAGGTCGCGGCTATCCAGCAGGACATGTATACCGAAGACGAAACCCCTAAGGAGCGAATCCAGCAGGAACCTGTGGAAAAGGCGAAAGCCCTGAGGAGTGAATCCAGCGAGAGCCTTTTATGCCCAACACGAACACCCAACGGACTGAGTCCAGCAAAACCCTTTGCCCAAGACGAACACCCTGAGGAGTGAACTGCCGAAGACGAAAACCCTTAAGGAGTGAATCCAGCAGGAACATTGAAAGCAACAAATCCCTGAGCAGGAACCTTTTCCCGAAGACCAAAATCCTAAGGAGTGAGTCCAGCGAGAGCCTTTTATGCGCAACACGCAAACCCTTACAGGTAGGGAGTGAGTCCAGCGAGAACCCTTGACCCAAGACGACAACCCTTTGCTGTTTTTCGGGGGCCGCGAAGAAGTTACAACTCAGTCATTTTGCTGAAAAGCTGCAAAGTTTTGTCTATCAGCAACATAGTCACAACTAGGTGTTCTACCCTGTGCGGTTGTGTGGTAGGCAGGAGATGGGAGAGGGATGGAAAGGGCATGAAAGGGACCTCAGGCGCGCTCGACAGAAGCGACTGCACGGCGGTTGCACCGCCGGCTGGCCTCCAACAGCTCCATGCCACCTGGCTCGGAAGGGCATCCGAAACAGTGAGGGCGCAGAGCTGTGTTTTCTTTCAGGTCCATCCGGAGTCGGATCTCCTTCGACGCCGGCGGGAACTGGCGACCTCTGCGGCCTCCCAGCAAGGACAGCGCCACATTATGTGGCCTTCGCCAGCACCGTGAAAGTGCTGTCGCCCCAGGACTCTTCGGGAGGCAACATCTCCTGTCAGCCAGGGCTCTGCGCCCTTCACCTCCATGGCGTGCCTCTCATTGGCCCCTACTGATGCCAGTATAGCGACTCCAGTGACTCTAGTAGCAAAGCGAATCATCATGCTCTTTGCTCAGATGCGACCTTCCAAGACAAGTTCGTGCTTTGGCGGCAGGACGAGTCGTGGACGCTGCTCAAGATGCAGCTCGAGCATGCGTGAGCTGAGGTCCCCTTCTATTCCTACGACAAGGCAGTTGGAATCATCATGGGCGTCGGGAACGTTGGGCCGCAGCTCAGTGCCCTGGCTAGTCTAGCACACTGCATCCCCATGGGCCGGAATGGGCCATCAGTAGGTCACTTCACGTCTCTCGCCGTCCAGGCTTCGAGCCCAAGGATGCCAACACTTACCTGTCGAGGGATGGTGGGTACCTCTGGCAGGAGGTGAAGAAGGGAGTTCCTTATCAGAAGACCGCTTCGGTCCACGCATGACTCTAAGCGCTCCGTGTCGTCCGCCTCGGCCCGGTCGCAGATGAAGAGTTGTTTCCACGTCAGGATTACCAGGTTCAGGGAAAACGCAAGACAACGAGTGTGGCCAGGGCGGGGGTTGGGGTGGCCTCGGAACCTCTGACCACCGGCCATGGCCGAGGTGTTATTTTCTGTTTGCGATATATTTGTTCGTGTCATGGCATTGGCGCCATTGCGCAAAGTTGCGTCGTCCTACCAGGTGCACATCTACGAATTCGGGAATCATGGGGCTGTGCTGGTCATGGCTGACATCCTTGCCGAGACGGACGAAATCATCTACTCTCTGGACGAGGGCAACTCGTGGAGAACAGTCCATCTGAGCACCAAGATGAACGTGCCTGGCTCGCTTTCAGAACTGTTGAGGAATCAGACTGCAGTCACATTCGAAAATGCAATGAACCTGCCAGGTGACCAACATCCTCATCGAGCCACGCGCGATCTCCACGAAATTCCTTGCCTATGGGACCGTGGGAGGCGGCAAAGGGCCGAACGCCATTCAACGTGGAAAGCCGCAGTTTGAATGCACGAGGTGCTGGTGTCGTGCAATTTCTGGACTTCGACGCGATGGGATGGTTGCCATGCAAGAACCCCGCAGAGCCTGGCAGCCAGTCGGAACCACGGCTAGGGTTCCAAGTGGGGAGAGTCGGGGCTCTTTGGAGGCCTAGGGCCTAGGCCGGTGAGTTGAGATTGCCTCGTTTGATCTTCCATGAGTCCACTAGTTGAGGACTACGAAGTGTGGTCGCCTGAGTTTGGCGGTATCTGCCTGATGGGAATGAAGAAAACCTACGTGCGACGTTTCTTGGCGTTCAGTTCAGCTTCCCGAAGCTACTTCGTGAAAGCTGAACCTGGGATCCCACAACATCACGTCGTGATTTTAAGTTTCTTTGAAGAATAAGAACCTAGACAGCCATGTACATTGAAACCCAAAGGCGCAGTAGGCGAAAAGGAGCCTGAGCGTAGGCAAACACCCAGGTCGGACCCTGCTCGTAGTAGATTGCTAGATGATTACGTACGATTAAGTATTTAGGTGGACATGGCCTGTGACATGAGCAATGCAGAAACATCGGACGCAGATTCCCTCTGGCTGCCCTCTTGAGGCAAGCCCCTCTCGGAGTGCTTCAATCGCCGGGAAGTGAAGCTGCCGATGATTTCGGTGCCATGCCCCTGCAATCGAGATGACTTCGAGTGCAACGTGGGTTTCGAGCTGGCCCTGGACTCCAGAAACTGCGTGAAATCTTCGATGCCACTGGTGGGCTCCGCGGGCCCAGCAGAAGAGACAGAAGCAGCAGAGTGTAGCTTGGCTCGGGAAGAGATACTGTAGCGCTTCGAAGAGCTCCTTGTACCAGCATTTCAGGACTTTCAGAACTCAGGCAGGTTCAGAGACACCTATTCCGTGGAGATGTATCGGCGGATACCTGGCAATGGCTGTCAGTGACCAAGTCGAGCAGAGAGCGGGAGCGGCGCATGCGCGTGCCTGCACCTTCCGAGGTGTCGGCGGCTTCGTTCCGCCAAGGTTCGAGGCGAAGTGTCCGCAGGAGACGGCTCTCTGAAGTTTTTGAATCGGTTGGGCCTTTTGGGCCTTTTGGACACGCCTTTTCCCAGTCCTGGTGAGGGGAGCAACGAGGCAGCCGGTGCCGGTGCCGGCTGGTCCTTGACGAGGCTGGTGCTCCTTGTCCTGGCTGTGGCCGCATCTCGGCTCCCGAAGATAGGGTCCAGTGCCAGCAGTCGGACTTTTTTCTGAGCCTTTTGTGAGGTCGTGGTCTACGTGGCGAGGTCCGAGCGATTCCAAGATTGGCCGCTCACCTGAACATGTAATGTAATGTACGGCCCTTTGCGTTTATGGCCTGTAGCGGGCCTGCGCAATTTTTCGAAACGGCCTGGCACCTGAGTTGGGAGACCTTGGCAAGCAGAGCCCGGAATGTGGATTTCAAGCCAGTCGTCACTTCGGACCCTCGGCACGAGAGAGCCATACGCGACCTGAGGGACAGGGCCAGTGCACGTGGCAGGAGCTTCCCGGCATTCCTCGCTACCGTGCTCCTTCAATCGCTCGATTCTGAGAGAGAGAAAGCCGTGATCCAACCGCCGACACGCGGGTGCCGAGCACTCGCGAAGAGCGCATCAGCACCGAAGAGCGCATCACCACTCCCTCTATGCCGTGCAGAGCCTGACACGGAGAGCTGAGCCCGGCGGGTTCCGCCCCGAGTGCTGCCGTTGCGGAATGTGCCGCTCTCCGAGCCGGACGCGAAGGAGCGCTTCGCTGCGTGCCACCGCGCGGAGAAAGGGCCCCTTGCACGGCAGACGTGCAAGCTTCTGAAGCTTTAGTCACTTTAGTCGCCAAGGCGTGCGTGTCCACGATCTCATGAGCTCCGGAGATCGGGACACTTTCTGCACGGAGGTGGCTTCTGAAATCACTGAAATAACAGAGCTTGGAGTGTCGGAGGTGCTGGTGCAGATGACCGACATGGAGGCGTGCAGTTTGGGCAACGGTGGCACCGGCGGGGAGGCGCCGCCGCCGGCCGCCTGGTTATACCAGACAACAGGCGCCTGTGTTTGGCAGGTGACGATTGCTGGGCGTGGTCTCCGGGACTTTGCCAAGGCAACAGATGCCGGACCCCTGGGTATTCGTTTCTTGAAAGCTCCAGATTGCTTCACGTGAGATCGAGGCCATTGCTAAAGACCTTGCTCACATGGGCTTGCTGGACGGGTGGGAGATATCATGAACTCTCATGAAGTCTCATGGTTCTGTTGGGGTTTCAGCTGGTGCCAGGTCTGCCCTTCTTGAGCTTCACTTTGGTGACCAAGGAGGATCCGTCCTGTGTCGGCCCGAGCAACTGGAGATTGCCCGGAGAGCGCTACAGCAGTACAGTGCTTTCAGGTGCTGCATGGCCGCAGGTTGTGACGGAACCGCCAGGCCGTTGCAGGCACGCGGCAGTCGCATGCATGCAGCTCCTGACTCCCATGCCCTGTGCACTTCGTCATGGGTTGATTACTGTAATTGTGTAATTGATTTTGGCAACGATGCAAGTCTTGCGGGGTTTGGGGGGCCCGGTCCACTTGACGGTCGGCTATATATGATAATGTATATATACTAAAGATGTTAGGAGGGCTGTTGCTGCAGGACTTCTCCGCGGTGTTCATGGTCTCCACACGGGAGTCCTCAGGAAGATCTCGGGGTCCTTGCTGCTAGGCCCTTCTTGAGGGCATCCGTGCACTGAAGCAGAAAGAGCGGCGAAGAGCGTTTCGAGGAGCGGCTCCTGGCGCGGCTCCCGCCACGGCCCCGGCGGCGTCCACGGCCGCCGAGCCGGCCGCGACGGCGGCGGCGACGGCGACGGCGCGGCGCGCGCAGCGCCAGGAGGGGAGCGGATCCGACAAAACCCTCGTGGCGGCTGCGACGTCCTCGCTCTGTGAGCGCAGGGCCCCGGCAAGCGCCGCGCGCTGGAGGCGGCGCCGTCCGACTTCGGCGCCTTCCCGGAGCCGCCAGGGCCCCGATGCGCGACAGCCTGTGACATCTGTGATCCTCTTGGCTCCTGCCGGCTCCTCTCCGCTCTGTGCCCCTTTTTTGAGGAACAGCCAGGCACCGCGGTCGGAGGCCAGCGGAGATCTTCCACCTGTGCTTTCTGACACCCAATTTCCTCTGGCCTAGGCCAGCGCCCGAGCGCCGAAGCTTCCCTCCTCCCAGGCCAAACCGCAAACCGTCAAAAGAGGACTGGATGAGCTCGCTTCCGCGAGTCGGCAGGTCACGTCCAGCGAGTCCGTAAGGCGAAGGGCAGATTTGTTGCCTCCTTGCAGAAATCCTGTGCCTTTCCGTAAGAGCTGCCAGGGATGCTGCCCGACCCTTGTTGCAGCTTTTCACGCCGGGGCCGCTGCTTTCGTCTTGCTAGTAGATTACGAAGCTCTGCCTGCGACGGAGGCAGCAGCAGAAGAGCGAGCTACTTGCTTCGCAGGCCAAGCTGCTGAGAACGAGAGAGAGTGAGCGAGTGAACAAGAGAATACGAAGCAGCCCCCTCTGTTCACAGAGCCAGCCTGGTGGCCTGGTGCTGTCCTGGAATGTCAGGCGTGGCACGCACCGAAGTCTCCGAAGCCAGAGGTGTCCGGGACCTGGGGACTCGCAGATGGTTGCGCCAAGTCATCCTTCAAATTCAGAGATAGCAGTATGACACACTACTGGCAGTTTGGAGAGAGCTGGGATGCTCCCTTTGGTAAAAGGGTGGCAGTTTGGAGATCTCTCAATGTCTCGAGCGGAAGAGTTTTGGGCTGGTGAGGCTCGGAGCCGCAGAGCTCTGCAGAGCTTTCCAGAGCTACAAGTAACTTGAGATTCTGGATGAGGGATGGGCTGTTCAGGAAAAGAAGCCGAGTTGTTGCGGCAGCTCGAAGCCAAAGCGTCATCGTCACCTCTCCTGTTTTCTTGTGACTCTCCTGCCCTAAACGGAATCCCAAAGAGGACTCGGCATGTCGGCATGCAATGTCGATCCACATGGCTTGACGTTCTTAGTTTGTGCCGTATCTGCCAAACTTCATATTACGCATCGCGAATACAATCTGGGAAGTGATCAACTTCGATCAGGCAGGCCTCGGCCAAGCCGTTGGAGTGTGGGCTGCTATGGCGTTGTAAGGAGGTCGTGTTCGACTTCTCCTACAAAGATTGTATAGATGATGGATGCTACATCTGTGAATTTGCTCCTTTGCAGCGGATTCTAAGAGCGACAGCACGTCTGCTTCAGATGTCGCAGACAACGCAGGGAGAAGAAGAACTTTTCCAGTCACTGTATTTGTGCAGGATCTGCAGTCTACGTCAGTTTCAGGGTGTTGGTGTGTCGGTCCGTGTCGTGAGCAGTGGTGGCACCCCTCCCCTTTTGTTGGCGGTGCATCTGAAAAGCAGCGACGAGCCACTTTTTCAACCTCCGCTCAGTGAGGGCAGCGACTTGCCCGTCCACGCCGGTCTCGCATGTGTGGGCCTCAGTTGGAGACAGGGATTCTCTCGCTAACTCACTGGGGCTGACGAGAGGAGCCGCATAAGACGGAGCAGACAGCCGAGGTGCTTCTTAGACAAATGCCAATATGAGTGCGTGGGAGCACGGCTGCTTTTGCCGGGAGGCCGCCCCTGTCCCACCAACTCCGAACAGAAACCACCAGGTGCAGGGCGCTCAGCTGCCTCTGGCTGAGAACCCACTTCAACTGCTCAGCATCATCTCCGTCTATCATGTCACACAAGATGTTCTGCGTATGTGCATGTGTACACGCATGATCGTGCATGAGCATAAGCACGTCCGTCCGTCCGTCGGTCGGTCGGTCTGTCTGTCTGTCCTTCTGTCTGTCTGTCGCCCCTTGTATGTATATGTATGTACGTAAGTAAGTATGTACGTGTGTACGTAAGTACGTTGTATGTGTTTGTGTGTGCACGTATGTAGGTATGTATGTATGTATGTATGTATGTATGTATGTATGTCTGTGTGTATGTCTGTATGTCTGTCTGTCTGTCTGTCTGTCTGTCTGTCTGTATGTATGTATGTATGTATGTATGTACGTAGGTATACGTAGGTTTGTATGTATTTATATATGCATGCATGCATGCGTGCATGCATGTATGCGTGTGTGTATTTATGTATGTTTGTATGTATGTCTGTATGTATGTATGTATGCATGTATGTATGTATGTATGTATGTATGTATGTATGTATGTATGTGCATGTGCGTGTGCATGTTCATGTGTATGTGTAAAGAACCTACTGTACGTGCATACGTTTGTACATAGACAGACAGACAGACAGACAGACAGACAGACAGACAGACAGACAGAGACAGAGACAGAGACAGAGACAGAGAGACAGAGAGACAGAGAGACAGACAGACAGACAGACAGAGACAGAGAGA